AGTTGTGAAGCACCCTGTAGAAATATGTAACGAAGACAACTTTAACCCACGAGTGACATACGGATGGCGTTTCTTTGTTTACTATTTGTATGACATCACATCACCTTTTCGTATTGAAAACGAAAAATAAATTTTTTTAAATTGGTTTTCTTGCAACTTTCAAAATTGAAATAGATATATTTCCTAAGACAATAACTGTAAGAAATACTCATTTATTCTATGAAAGTATATATGAGTCAAATAGAATAGAATAGAAGCTTATTGGTTTCTCAGTTATAAACAAAAAACAAAGAACTTTATAACAGAGATAACACGTCATTGTGATACAGTGTAAATAAAACACATTTTTTTTAAAGTACATCAAAAACAAACATACATAGATAACATATAACACAGCGATATTGATGCTTACGGTTTCACTAGAGCACAGAACTCTTCAATACTATATGGTTCCATTTCGCATATATATATATATATATATATATATATATATATATACTAAGTGACATATAAATCCGAACACCCAGTTTAAATGGATTTATTTTAATAAAAGTTGGTGAATGTATTTATCTTACTGTAAATAACAAGTGAACAAATTTTCAGCCTTATCAGTTGGACATTCCGGTTTTTATACTGCTTTTTTTAATTCACTAACGCTCTAAAAATGAATATTTCAGCCGCAGTAAAGAATCAACTTTGGCGGATTTTGGTTCTTGACATCCTTTACGATCAGTTACGATGCCTAGAGTACGGAGACCTGTACGATTTCGTCAACTTAGTGAGTTTGATAGGGGCCGTATAGTGGGACTTCGGGAAGCTGGACTTTCTTTTCGGGCAATTGCAGTTAGAGTGCAAAGAAGTGTAGACACTGTGGTTAGGTGTTGTCAGGCATGGCTTCGAGAAGGCCGTACGTAAAGAGCAAGGGGCACTGGACGCCGCCGTAGAACAACAGACCGTGAAGATCGCCGCCTAAGATTATTGGCCTTAAGGGACCGTTTCTCCACTACCAGGTCAATTGCAAATGAATGGTTTGCAGAACACGGAAGACCTATTGGCATGCGAAGTGTTTACCGACATATGAGAAGTTTTGGCTTGTTTTCATACCGGCCACACTGGGTCCTCCCTTTAACTCGAGAACACCGACGTAATCGCCTTGAGTGGTGCAGACAACGGTCACTCTGGGATCAGGAATGGAACAGTATTGTCTTTAGTGACGAGTCTCGATTTTGTTTAGGCATGCACGAAGGTCGTGCCAGGGTTAGAAGGCGACGTGGTGGAAGGAGGAATCCACAGTTTTTTGTTGAAAGACATGTTCATCACACTGTTGGAGTTATGGTTTGGGGTGCTATAGCTTATGGTTACAGGTCACCTTTAATCTTCATCAGCGGTAACATGAACGCGCAGCGTTATATCCACAAAGTTCTAGAACCCCATCTTTTACCCTATCTTGACACCCTGGCAGATCCAACATTCCAACAAGATAATGCCCGACCACATGTTGCAAGAGTCACAATAGACTTCTTTCAACATAATGATGTCACATTGTTACCATGGCCACCAAGATCTCCCGACTTATCCCCAATTGAGCACGTGTGGGATATGATGGGTAGGAGATTGCTCAATTTGCAACGTCCTCCTCAGACTCTAGAAGCACTTCGAGAGGAGTTGGTGGTTGCCTGGAATGAGATACCACAGGAGGACATTGACCACCTGATCAGAAGCATGCCTAGGCGCGTTGGAGAATGCGTAGCACATCAGGGTGCATCCACACATTATTGAAGGTCAAAAGGCTTTAAAGCAGTGCAATCATTTTGAAATTTTTATCATTTACTTATTATGCTTGATTAAGTACTTATACAAAATAAAACCATTTAAACTGGGTGTTCGGATTTATATGTCACTTAGTATATTTATGAATGCTTTTTTGAATATAGTGAATGCTGAAATGGATTTAATATGTTGAGGTAAGGCAATGTAAAGTTTCAGTGCAGACTAATGTGGTCATTTTTCGGTAGAATTTAGCTTATGTGATGGGTAGATGTATTTCTGATTTTTGCGAGTATTATAACTGTGGTTGAAGACGTTTTTTTCAAACTTTCCTTTATGGTTAAAGATAAATAGTAGAGTGTTTAGATATAAATTACCGGTAATGTTAATAAGCGGTTGACTTTAAATATACTTATACATGACTCTCTAGGTTTCATTTTGAACATTGTTCTTATTATCCTCTTTTGTATGATAAAAATTCTATTGGCTGCGGGACTATTACCACAAATTGTTATTTGATAAGACATATTAGAATGCGGAAGCCCATAGTAAGTAGCCTGCACAGCTTGCGTGGCAGGTGACAAGTGAGTACTCGTAGTGCGTAGCATGCTTGATTGAGTTTTGAGGCCATACTCTCCTCAATGTGCTTATCAAACTTAAGACAACTATCGTATGTGACACCCAGGAGGTTTGTATCGCTTTTGATACATAGCGGTTCATTAATTAAGGGTAGTTCTTTGGTGGCATGGCTTGACTGAAATAGGACACAACACATTTTTTGTATGTTGAATGCTAACTTATTCACCTGCATATGGATTATTTGATTCTCTATCAAGATTCGGATATTAGACGTTCCTTTATATGGTATCAGAATAGTTATATCATCTGCATAGATGAAACTTAGATATTGCGTGTTTTCGTCGTGGTGAATATATTATTAATATAAATAATAAACAAATAGACTATTGTGTGTCAGTGTTGGTAGCGGATATTTTCGTGTGTTACTAGATAATCAGCTGTTACTATCACGTTTGACGTAATAGATACTCATAGCGAGACATTACCTCTGCATCTGTGAATAATACAACCACACATTGTATATAACGTAACTGCAAGTTCCACTATACCATCATTGTCTGCTGCTTGACAGTTCCTGACCAATGATGTTATTCATGTGTGTGTATGTTTTTATCAATATTACCCAACTTGGCTGGGCATTCGCGCCATTACCAGGCCATTAATATTATTACCCGTAACATATAGACCTCTTTCAAAGTTTAGTTCCCATTAACCTTTTTCCTTTATCGAATCCTTATAAAGGACAGTACAGTATAAAACGTTACGTGCTGATTCCCAATTTATCATCAAAAGGCACTGTCGGCGCTTAAGGAGATGTCGATAGTCGTAAAGTTGGCGTTCCGATCTGTTAATTTTATAGTCTTCCTGTAATCCCTTTGAAACTTCCTGAAATAGAAAGACCAAACATACACTTGTGATCGAATAGAGATACAGAATAGGGTCCAGTAGAGAAACTCAGTTTTCCAAGCTGTCAGAACTAATAATAATTTTGCCAAATATTCCCATTGTGTTAAGTGTCCGTTTAAATATAAGTACGGCATTTTGCGCAACCTAATGATTTTTAATTAGCGTCATTTTTTGATGTTTTTTAGAAAAAAATATAATGGTGTTTCATATAAATTGTACGTTTATACAATATTTATATGAATAAAATGATGGAAACATAGATTGTGTAATGATGTCAATAACACGATAAAGGTTGGAAACATTGAATATGCGTCGCTAAGCAAATCCTTTTTCAAAGTAATTATACATTTTTAATCGATACATGTATTTTCACTATGAATCTAAATGAAATTGTGCTAATTTTGATACGATTACCACCTAGCACATATCACCATTATTTTTAATTGCCAATGAAATTAGTACTATTTGCTATCATTTATGACGAAATCATCACTGACAGCGATCAGCTGTCACAATATCAAGCTAATTAGCGAAAAAAAAAACCTGGATAATAGACATAATTATACACAGTGTCTCATCACTTGAATATTTCGGAAACTGCGCAATATAGATAAAAAGTTTCAAGGGAAGGCTGTAGGGCTTCCAGGGGGCAAAATGACGGTTACCTTGTCAATAACCTTCACTACGACCTTCAAGGACATTCCAAGGTCAAGTGAATATTTTAAATGGAACCTCCCTTTTTTCAGATCGAAATGGCATACAGCAAATTTTATTTCCGAACATCACCTTAGTCATGACCTTGAATATTACCTCCAGGTGTGGGGTTCAGTTGTGAGCGTTGCGAGGATTATCCAAAGATGATCGTGACCATGACCTTCAAGGTTAAATGAAAATTTCAGAAGGAACCCTTTCATTTTTATACTGGAGGTCAAGGTCAAATTTAGACGTGAAATTTTCTGCTTTTTCCATTTCCACTTTTAAAAATGAGACGTTTCCTTTGAAGAACGTAGTTATTGTCCTGGTCAAGGTCACCTTTGGGTAATCCTGTCAACTGTGCGGCCTAATATTTTTTGTAAGACAAATTGTCTTCGATTTGCCCTTGAAATGGCCTGAAGGTTGGGCTCAAGGTCATGGTCAAGGTAATTTACTAGACGTAAAATTTACTTCTCTTTTCGATTCTGATATGGAAAGGTGAGAGTTCTATTTAAAAATATTCACTTGACCTTAAAAATACCTTGAAGGGCGTACTCAAGGTCATTGTGAAGGTCACGGCTACTTTGCTTCCTCAGAACCCTACGACTTATGTTTGAAACCTTTTTTCTGAAATGCGTAGTATTCGAAGTATTTGAGTGGAGATATTAAAATACGACACGCGTATAGGCTGATTTCACAACAAAGTCGCTTTCTCGCGAATATTCAAAAAATATGAATTAATGGTCTGAGTGGTCTACGAAAGAGTTGAAGTGAACGAAAATATCTTTGAGTCATGTTTAGTTTGCTGCAGCCAGCGGTCACATCACTAGACAGCTCGAAAAAATAGACCACTAGCTTCAGAAAATTTAGTGGAAATTTAAACTCTGAAAAATTGTTGAGCATTCTATATGACTTTTTTAAACTGCAAATTTTCCATGTTTTGGCTATTGAACAATTTTCTCCTTTAAAATTTTTTGTGAAACAAATTTTGGAATCGGCAATATTTTTAATAGAAAATCAGCCCCCTAACTTAAAGGTTTTTTCTGCTATTCTAGATATCCTTGGCTACATATGTTAGAGACTCTGTAATGTTGCAAATGAGAAAAGCTTTCTTACACGTTTAGGTATAGCCCAAAGAATCATCCGTTCTGGGATGGAATATTTCGAATTGAAGCGTTAATCCCCACCCCCCTGCAATATTTTCGAAAAAATTAGTACGTACTGCTGTGTCTTGTTGAAAAAATTACGTTGCTAGACCCGCACGGGTATCACGTATCTTGAAAAGTGACATCATGCCGATTTTTTTTTTGACAATATGCTGTTTTTTTGACATTATGTGGGTTTTTCTACAAGTTGCTAACTTAGCACTTAGTTGTACGTGTTGCCTAAACGTCATGAGGCTTGTTTATCAATGTTTGGCTCTGGTTTGATGTAAAATCTGCTTCAGAGATGGCATTACTGGAGGTCTAAGCTGTAAGTTGTATGTGTTGATGATAATTACATTGGGTTCTTGTCTCAAATACATTTAATTGAGATTCAAAGCTAGAAATTAGTTGCGCATCCACTTTTTCTTATCCAATCTGGAAATTACATATACAAATCTGCTGAATTTCAAAAATGAGAGAGATAAGAAATAATTATATTCACTATACACTGCCGAATTACAAGTCATACACATGCTAATAGTAATTACACTCAACGCGGGCGCGGTGATGATTTCCCGTAATTCTCCTCAGTTTTTCGTAATTTATGACTTTGAAGATAACCTCTCTTCAGAAAGCACAACATAAAAATAACCCGTCGGGCACAGCAATAGATATACTTCATTGGCAGCATATTCGGTAATGATTTTCTCACACAGCAAATATCACTGATTTTATACACATGCAGACCAATACACATAATCATCCAGATGCGATCTTGCTATTCAACCAACTTTCTTCTCAGAGATAAAAGCTACAGACAAGGACCATTTGGTCTCACAAAACATATGCAACCAATAAAGCATGTAGTTTAGTTGAGTAATTCCTCCTGAGATGGACGTTCACAACGATCCTAGTGAGCAAACGTGCAATGACTGTTTGCGCCCTAAAAACTACCTAGTTTGCAAGATGACATCTTATAGGTTTTTTTGACGTTTTATAGGTTTTTTACATGATACCCATGCTGCAGAGTTATTATGTAAAAAACCTATAACTATACCTGTACCTATACTGTCAAACAAACCGATGCACTTGTTGACTAGGTAGCTGCTAGTGTTCAAATAGTTTATTCCGAGCTTGCTACAAGTGAGCATAACGTGGACGACGGCTAGTTTCAAGTTGACATCTTGTAGGAAAACCTACATAATGTCAAAAAAAACCGACATAGCGGCACTCTTCAAGTTACGTAATACCTCTGCCGAATCATGGAGACAACTCCTGCTCTTTAATGTTCAAGCACCGACAGCCCCTCCCTCTTCCTCCGAAACGTATATCCCCCTCAGCATGAATCCAGCGACCAGTGCGGAATTCCGCTACTGGTAGCTTAATTTTCAAGTGGTAGTGGCGTAGCGGCGGAATTGGATTTTTTGTTAAAAGTAGCGGAATTTTGCGATTTAGGTACATATGATGGATATTCTTACCAGAAAAAAAAATGAGTGCAGTTAGTAACCAAATCTAAATCTTTCCAATCGACAGCGGTAACCATCGGTCGGTAATTCTTATTTAACGTAGCCCCGTATAGATGGTAGTAGGTGGTAATAACACAACCTGTGAAATGTACTTCCAAAGTATGTCTAATAATTTTAACATTTGCCACACGGTAATGCAGATGTCGAGCGGACATTCTCATATATGGAGATTATCTAAACAAAGAAAAGGAATCGTATTCTACCTTCAACATTGTTCGCGATACTTATCAAATTGGATACAATACAACAAAATGCTGATGCTTAGACTTCGAGTTTGCTAAAAAACATTTTGAAAAATACAAAAATAATTTATATGGAAATGCAACAAGAAGAATCTGATACAGACAGTGACTAAGTTTAAGTAACTCAAAAACTTCAATTTTTTTATGCAAAACAGAAATAGCCTTTAGTCATATGCTTTTTATTTGTCAGGTTGTTGTGATATTTTTTTAATATGACTGCGTGATAAATGTTCTGTTGTTGGACAGTTATTTGTAATATTGTATTGGTTTTTATAGTCAAATATTTTTGTATTACAGTTTTATGTTGTAATTTATCACGCTGTTTGGGTTTTGTTTCCCTTTTTTGGCCCAACCTGTATAATAAAAGAACTAAATTAAAATAATAAAAAACATCTAATCTATACTTCGTACTACTTCATCATTACAAAATGTGCTGTTTATCTCAATAGGCGTTAAAACGTGTCCAAGTATCATGAAAAGCAGATTATCACAATTGTTGATCACAATTTAGTTTCGAGTGACCTTTAGCTCGTTTTGATAGTGGCCTTTCTTGCATGGTATTATTCTCATAATTGCCAAATATGTGTTTGTTTCTTCCCTATTTTCACTTGCATTTTTTATGTGTGGCGCCCTGTATTTCCATTACCATCGCTCCACTGCCCTTATTCATCCTCCAGTATTCGTTTTGGTTTACAACCGTTCACAACTGTCATCATTCTCGTGATTAATTAATTCATTATCCTTAATAATGCGCCAAGATTACAACAGGATTAAATATGAACACCGCCCACAAACTTTCCTTCCCCGACTGCCAAGCTATTTATAGATATCCTTGTCTTGAACCGGAATAACTGAAATGTTTGATAACAGCTACAGTTCAAGAGCTTTCCCATTGCTTCTTTTGTATGTAAGGGAATTCGTTTGGTCGAGATAAAATTACCTTCTCCTTTGAGTTTTTTTTACGGAAACTTAAGGAATTACGGACGTTACATGTTATGACACATTCCAATCCTTTATGTGGGACGCTACAGGCGCAATCGTAAAAAATTCGGAATAAAGACAAGCTACTAGAATATTTTGTATTCGTCTTGTATCCCCATTTTTACCCTATTGCCTCGGAATGAGGGTTATGTTTTTAGCGTGTACGTATGTATGTTTACTAAGTGACATATAAATCCGAACACCCAGTTTAAATGGTTTTATTTTAATAAAAGTTGTAAATAACAAGTGAAAAAATGTTCAGCCTTATCAGTTGGACATTCCGGTTTTTATACTACTTTTTTTTAATTCACTAACGCTCTAAAAATGAATATTTCAGCCGCAGTAAAGAATCAACGTTGGCGGATTTTGGTTCTTGACATCCTTTACGATCGGTTACGATGCCTAAAGTACGGAGACCTGTACGATTTCGTCAACTTAGTGAATTTGATAGGGGCCGTATAGTGGGACTTCGGGAAGCTGGACTTTCTTTTCGGGAAATTGCAGTTAGAGTGCAAAGAAGTGTAGACACTGTGGTTAGGTGTTGTCAGGCATGGCTTCGAGAAGGCCGTACGCAAAGAGCAAGGGGCACTGGACGCCGCCGTAGAACAACAGACAGTGAAGATCGCCGCCTAAGATTATTGGCCTTAAGGTACCGTTTCTCCACTACCAGGTCCATTGCAAATGAATGGTTTGCAGAACACGGAAGACCTATTGGCATGCGAAGTGTTTATCGACGAATGAGAAGTTTTGGCTTGTTTTCATACCGGCCACACTGGGTCCTCCCTTAAACTCGAGAACACCGACGTAATCGCCTTGAGTGGTGCAGACAACGGTCACTCTAGGATCAGGAATGGAACAGTATTGTCTTTAGTGACGAGTCTCGATTTTGTTTAGGCATGCACGATGGTCGTGCCAGGGTTAGAAGGAGACGTGGTGAAAGGAGGAATCCACAGTTTTTTGTTGAAAGACATGTTCATCACACTGTTGGAGTTATGGTTTGAGGTGCTATAGCTTATGGTTCCAGGTCAAATTTAATCTTCATCAGAGGTAACATGAACGCGCAGCGTTATATCCACGAAGTTCTAGAACCCCATCTTTTACCCTATCTAGACACCCTGGCAGATCCAACTTTCCAACAAGATAATGCCCGACCACATGTTGCAAGAGTCACAATAGACTTCTTTCAACATAATGATGTCACATTGTTACCATGGCCACCAAGATCTCCCGACTTATCCCCAATTGAGCACGTGTGGGATATGATGGGTAGGAGATTGCTCAATTTGCAACGCCCTCCTCAGACTCTAGAAGCACTTCGAGAGGAGTTGGTGGTTGCCTGGAATGAGATACCACAGGAGGACATTGACCACCTGATCAGAAGCATGCCTAGGTGCGTTGGAGAATGCGTAGCACATCAGGGTGCATCCACACATTATTAAAGGTCAAAGGGCTTTAAAGCAGTGCAATCATTTTAAAATTTTTATCATTTACTTATTATGCTTCATTAAGTACTTATACAAAATTTTATTAAAATAAAACCATTTAAACTGGGTGTTCGGATTTATATGTCACTTAGTATATATGAATGATATTTCACGGGATACAGTCCACATTTCAACTTTGAATTTCGCGGGTTACAGCTTAAATGCTTGATGAATCTTTACATTTGAGGCGTCCGAAGCGGAAGTATTCAGGAACCCATCCGACCGAAATGGATTCAAAACGGCTTGCTGGATTTAGCATTCGGATAGGACTACTAAAGCTTCATTCTCTTTAATTACTGCAGTCGAGATGTTTGAATGTTTAAAAATGTCCTTGTTGTAGGTTCAAAACCCACAAAAATTAACGAGAAAGGTTGGGTATATTAAAATTTTATAAAATCAAAATAAGAGATTTTTAAGTTAACATCAACTCTGAAATTTTTATTTCGCGGGCTTCAGCTCAAACGGGTTAATGATTCAATGAGCCGTATTCATAAAACAAAGGATATGCTTGTACTTGCAAATTTTGAAGGAAATGCTCCAGATGGTATTTATAATAATTTGAAGTAAATGCTTTAACTTTTTGAGTATAAGCATATCCTTCAAAGCATTGACATAAGTGAAATATCTTCACCTTATACTTGGCATAGGAAGCATATCCTTAAAAATTCTGAGTGAGGTCAGTAGCAGACTCAACTTCGTAACGAATGGTCGTCAAACGATGATGGCGGAAATTGTGGATGTTAGGG